AAGATCCGAAAATACGCCAGCAAATATGAGATAATATGTAGACGAGAGGGACCAAAAATCCCCGCCCAGAAGGCAGAAAACCTAGGCAGGGGCAAACAACCCCAGAACTGCTAGTGTGCACCCCCCCCCCCCCCACAGCCCTGAGAACCCACAACAGAGGCCCAGGGACAGAGTCATCCTCCATACCCTCTACCCCTAAAGAAAAGGCAGAGTCCAGGGAAAAGGCAGCAAACAAAGGGCTGCTGGTAAGACCCAGAAGCCTCGGCAAGAGGAGCAGGCTCAAATGCCTCCGTCCCCAACCCAAATGGGGTAGCCCCCGATGCTCCCCTATTCTCAGCACCAACTAAACCCTGCTCTGACCCCAAAACCTGCAGACGGGCTGGAGGGGGGAAAAACGGCGAACAATACCTAACCAAAACGGGGCAGCCTCGGGGCATCTGGGTGGGAAACCAACCTTACCCCTCAACCCCAGAAGCTTGCCATGAAGACTCTGGAGCAGAGCTATGGTCCTCACCTAATATCTGCAACTAAGAAGGATCCTTCCACAGAGAAGGTCCAGAGCAGGGGAAGGATGTTTGTGAAGGCTAATGTTCTGAAACCTCAGTGGGACCAGAAGGCTCGACTGCCTCTGCTGTCGAAGTGGATGGAACCACCCCCAGAGAGTGCTACCTACCTAATGACCAGAGTAGTAATAGGCATCCTTCAGTCTTGGGAGACTATGGAGTTGCGCACTGGTTGTCAATCCTGGTGTAGCGTTTGGTGTGACTGATGAGGCAATCCGAGAGTGACAGTCCATCCCACACCGAGCACAAACGAAGTCCGATTCTGGTCTGTCTTCCTGGCTACCGGCTTTCCTTCTCAGTCTCTTTGCTTCCGATTCCTTGGCAAGTGACTCCTTGAACTTGGAGTGACCTCTGAACAGACTGCCCCCAGGCTGAACGGTCTGCAGCCAGTGTCTCCCACATAGCAAGATCGACGACCATGGCTTTCAGGTCCCTCTTGCATACGTCTTTGTACCATAGCTGGGGCTTGCATGTTGGACGCTTTCCCTGCATCAGCTCACCATACAGGAGATCCTTGGGGATTCTGCCGTCGCCCATTCGCTCAACATGCCCGAGCCAGTGCATTCATCTCTGTTTCAGCATTGTGTACATGCTAGTGATTCTTGCTCTCCCCAAGACGTTGTTGCTTGTCACCTAGTCCTGCCAGGTGATGTCCAAGATGTGTCGAAGGCAGCGCATGTGGTAGGCATTTAGCTGTCTTTCCTGATGGGCGCCGAGTGTCCAAGACTCACTGCCATAAAGGAGAGTGCTCAGGACACAGGCTCTGTAAACCTGAATCTTAGTATATTCAGTCAGCCTATTGTTGGCCCACAGTCTCTTTGTCAGTCTGGACAGGTAGTAGGCAAGTAGTAGATGCCTTACCAATGCGTTTGTTTAGCTCCGTATCAAGAGAGAGGGAGTCAGAGATTGTGGAGCCCAGGTACACGAAGTCATGACCGACTTCCAGTTTGGAATTGGAGATGCCGTTGTCAGGTAGGGAGTCCACTCCTTGTCCCATGACTTGTGTTTTCTTCAGTTCGATGGCTAGTCTGAAAACCTGACAGGCCTCGCTGAAGCGGGTCATGAGCCGTTGGAGGTCTTCGGCTGAGTGGGCAGTGACTGCTGCGTCGTCGGCAAAAAGGAAATCGCACAGACACCTCAGCCGAATCTTCGTCTTGGCTCTCAGCCTGGCAAGGTTAAAGAGTTTTCCATCCGACCTGGTCTGGAGGTAAATGCCCTCCGTGACAGATCCGAAGGTGTGCTGCAGCATAACTGTGAAGAAAATCCCGAATAGGGTTGGAGCCAGTACGCAGCCCTGCTTTACTCCACCTCGGATGTCAAAGGCGTCTGATGTTAGGCCATCAAAGACCACGGTGCCCCTCATGTTCTCATGGAAAGATCTGATGATGCTGAGGAGCCTGGGTGGGCATCCGATCTTGGGGAGGATCTTGAACAGGCCATCCCTGCTGACGAGGTCAAAGGCCTTCGTCAGATCTATGAAGGCTATGAAGAATGGCTGCCTCTGTTCCCTGCATTTCTCCTGCAGTTGTCTGAGAGAAAAGACCATGTCGATGGTGGACCTGTCAGCTCTGAATCCGCATTGTGATTCTGGATAGACTCTCTGCAAGTACTTGGAGCCTCTTCGGTGAGACTCGAGCAAACAGCTTTCCGACAATACTGAGGAGGGAGATTCCACGGTAGTTGTTGCAGTCGCCCCTGTCACCTTTATTCTTATACAGCGTGACGATGTTGGCATCCCTCATGTCCTGTGGCACCTCTCCTTCTTCCCAGCAGAGGCAGAGAATTTCATGCAGCTCCATGAGCAGGCTACCTCTGCAGCACTTCAAGGTCTCAGCAGGAATGCCATCTTTGCCAGGAGCTTTACCAGAAGCAAGGGAGTCTAGGGCATCGCTGAGTTCTTCGAGGGTCGGTTTGCTATCGAGCTCCATTAACACAGGCAGACACTCAATGGCACTCAGAGCGTCTTCGGTGACCACATTGTCCCTGGCGTATAGCTCAGAGTAGTGCTCGACCCAGCGCTTCAGCTGCAGTGTCTGGTCCTGAATCACCTCGCCAGTGGCAGATTTCAGAGGAGCGGTCTTCCTCTGGATTGGGCCGAGGGCCTGCTTAATGCCGTCATACATTCCCCTTACATTGCCTGTATCCGCTGCAGTCTGTATCTGGGAGCAGAGCTGGAGCCAATAGTTGTTGGCACATCGCCTGGCGCTCTGCTGCACTTTGCAGCGGACGGCCCGAAGGATCTGTAAGTTGCGCTGACTTGGGCAGGCTTTGTAGGCTGCCAAGGCGTTTCTCTTCTCTTCTCTTTTCGATTACAGGTGTCATCTCTTCCGAGTGAGCCTCGAACCAGTCTGCCGACCTGCTGGTCTTCTTGCCGAAGGTGGAAATGGCAGCGTTGAACACAGCGTCTCTGAAGTGCTCCCATCTTTTACAGGCAGTGACCCCAGCTGGGCCAGGGAGAGCTTCCTCAAGCACATGTGCAAAATCTTCCACCTTGTCCTGGTTGCAGGTCTTGGTGGTGTTGATGCGAGGTCTGCCCGCCTTTTTTGAGTGATGAATCTTTTTTGGTTGCATCTTGACCCTGCTACATACCAGGGAGTGGTCGGTGTCACAGACAGCACTCTGGTAGCTACGCGTAATCTTGACATTGGGTAGACTTGCACGCCTGGTAAGAATCAGATCAAGCTGGTGCCAGTGCTTGGATCTGGGGTGTCTCCAAGATACTCGGTGTTGAGGCTTTGTGCCGAAGAACGTGTTGGTGACAGAGACCATGAAGGCAGCAGAGTTCTAGCAGACGTTGCCCATTCTCATTCATCCTCCCTATGCCTAATGACTACCTGTTGATGAATATGAGGATCAATGTTCCCACAACCTGGACTTTGACCAGACCTCTTGGTTGCCGGTCTGATCAGCCAGGCTGTTCGATGTAGCTACTTGCAGCCTGACATACGAGTCACAGCCTGGTTGATTAGGTTGATCAGTTAAACCCTAACCCAACTTCTAAACCCTCCTTTGGGGGGGGGGGCAGAAGCAGGGCAACCCACACCTGCAAGGGTAGGAAGAAGAGGCATGGACTTAGTCCAGATGGAGGTCACAAACACGTCATATTCCAAGGTCCCTAAACACCATAGGGACCATTTCCAGGGGCATCCTGATGATCGTTATGCCATGAAAGCCTAAGGTGAGCATACCTAGCTCACAAAGCAGTAGCTGCCAGAACAACTTCTAAACTTGAAGCTGAATTGGTACAGGCAGGAACCTACTAAGAACACTCCTCACAGTACTCAGGGTCATAGGTGTCACCAACACAATAGGCAGTATGGCAGAGGTAAAATAAATCATCATCATCATCCGGTAGCAAGACAATGAGCATTCTTCAAGCTCACACTCGGCAGGCATGGGCTGAATGGGCCAGTACATAGCGGACCATACCAGAGACCCACGAGGAGAATACCAAGGCCTGAAGGCAGCTAACCAAGCGGGAATCCTAGGCACTGGGCCATTTACTGGAAGAACAGCCACCAAAGGCAAATAAAATAACCTTGCTACAAATGGCAATTGTTTTGCACCTTATAAACAAACACGAACCCCAGCTTTCCCAGCACAACCAGCAGCATGTCCCCAGCCAAAGGCCCAACCAAAGGATTCCAAGAGTTATGAATAGCCTAAGGTGCCCCCCCTCCCCCACAGTGGCGTGGCATCTCAGGGCCGACTCTCTAACACACCAGAGAAGATAACTAACTCTTACTCCGAGAGCAGCATTAGTGAGCACCCAGGAAAGAGAATCCTGAAAGAATGCAGCCTGAAATGCATGAAGAGCCAAGTGCACTCAAGCTGCATAGAAAACACACATGTGAAGCTAACACTAAAATAAGGAACATCATAGTGACATAAGCGAATGACTCCACAGGATGAACCCAGTCCAAGGATGGCCGACACTTGTTTAAAACAGCGGGGTTCACCCACAACTGGTAGAACATTTCACCAAAACATCAATAACAAAGCTGGCTGGTCAGGGAAGTCAGTTGTGGGCTGGGTCGTCTGGTGGTGGTGATCGGTACTAACTAAGCTAAAGCTAAAGTGAGTTTAAAGCTCAAGTTTTTTGAGCTAAGCTGATTGAATCTCTTATTCTGTATGAATAGTTTTATAGAGTGGTATCGTGGTTTCAAGGCTTTATTTTATGTGTTGTTTGTAAAGCTTTATTGATTTTCTGGATACCACTCGCTCACTGCACCTCTGTGAGGGGAATGAGGGAGTCAGGTTCTGACTGTAGTCACCAATGGGCCAAAGAAAACTTCTGCAACCGATATGACTTTTAGTATGGAGAAATTTCAGCAAGGAAAAACCTTTGGGGTGGGGGGGTTACCATAGAAAACAATATGTACCAATATGTACCAAAACAATATGTTTGCTACACTAAATTTGTGATGACTTCTACAGGGTCTTTGGTGGATCGTCTCCCACATTACATGCTCATGACGGCTCTTCCTCAACTGATCTCACGGATATGTCACTCTAACAATGGTGTGTTTATACAATTATGCAAAATAATTGCTACTATGTTGAGCAGCTTCCCACAGCAATCCATGTGGCACATGATTGCTGTATCAAAGGTGCGTATATTTTACAAGTACTTTACAAATCATGATTTTCTGTGGGGAGCCCCTACGGCTTCCTGGAGCTTATCGGGCTAATGTATGTTATATTAGACCGGGACATTAGCTAAGGAGTTCAGACCTACCAGGGACCAGCGCCAGAACCTGGTCCCTTCAGAGAGGTTTCAGGGAGAAATGGCCCTGGAAAACCCCCTTGTGGTTGGGGTTTTCCTTATCTGCCATCGACCGGGTTTGCATCCAGAAAGGTAGGCATAACAAATCAAACCCCACATGGTAAAAAACTAAAACAAAAAACCGAACAGAGAGGTAGAAACTCCCTACAATCCCAAAGAAACAAGCAAACATCACACTTTACTGCTGCGCCAATCGTCCACGCAGCCCTCCCCGCCCCGAGAGGGGGAGGGGGAAGGTTATCTTGAGATGATTTCGGGGCTTTTTTTTTTTTTTAGTGTCCCCGCGGCCCGGTTCTCGACCAGGCCTCCACCTCTAGGAAGCAGCCCGTGACAGCTGACTAACACCCACGTATCTATTTATTGCTAGGTAACAGGGGGCATAGGGTGAAAGAAACTCTACCCATTGTTTCTCGCCGGCGCCCGGGATCAAACCCGGGACCACAGGATCACAAGTCCAGCGTGCTGTCCGCTCGGCCGACCGGCTCCCCGGACCTACCGCGCCGGCTGCCTAGCATCAGTTCGTAAGCTAATGTCAACCGGGATAGACGCTTCTCTGGCCTCAGTTTCCTAGGCGCTGTTTGCCTTGTGTGGCGTTCACTGCCATGTGTTGTATTGTGCGGTGGCCAGGAGTACCTCACCAGTGCCGGGGCTGCATGCGCTTACGGGCTTCCTTCCCTGGGCGCCTTGTGAGTACTACCCCTGCATAACAGGGTTATCTTCCCTGGGGTGTTCGGGAACCATTCCCGTAGAGGTTCTTGCTGCTCGGCATTTGCCTGACCCTTGGGGCCAGCTAGGGCTTGGGGCCCTTGTTTGGCCCTGGGTAGGGACTGGTATTGTGCTGGTTAGGGCGTCAAGGTGTTGCGCGACCTGCCACCTAAGTGGCAACCGGTTCCTGTTGCCTCTGGAGACGGTGTACTTTTGGGGGAGTTTTCTTTTGTTTTTATTTTCATTTGCCTGGTGGGGGTTTGCCTAGTGTGGCTATAGTTCCACTGGTAGTGTTTGGTGGCCCTCTGCTAGGCCCCCGTGATTGTACACGTTGCAGGGGTTTTCAGTGTTGTCCTCTACCCCTTTGTTATTTTTGGGTGTTAAACCGGTTAGCAACAACTTGCCCGGGCTTCCCGTAGTTGTTACCTATACGGGCCTTGGAAACCCCCTATTGGGGCTCGGTGGACCATTGAATTTGTCTTCTGGGTCCCAGCCCATCTTGTACGGGATCGTTGGTTGCTGTGCCCTTGTCTCCAGGTGACAGTCGCCACTTTACCTCCATTATGCTGCCTGTTGGGTCACTGACACCTTGACCCGGAGTCTTGCGAGAGAGATTCTCTGCTTGTTCTCCAGTACTCTCCTGATGTTATTACTGTTCAGAGTACAGGCGGCATGAGTGTTGCAAGCTAGGTTAGGTTGCTGTAACACGGTAGGTTGGTTTCCCACTCGGATACCCCGGGGCTGCCCCGTTTTAGTTAGGTGCTGTTCGCCCCTTTCCCTCCCTGTTCCCGGCTCCGGACCATCTGCGGGTTTCGGGGTCAGGGCGGGGTTTAGTTGGGGCAGAGACTCAGGCGGTTTTCGGGGGCTGCCCCATTCGGGTTGGGGACGGAGGTTTTCGAGCCTGTTCCTCCTGCCAAGGCTTCTGGGCCTTACCAGTGACCCTTTCTTGTTGCCTTTCCTATGGACTCTTGCTTTTCTTTAAGGGCGGGGGACTTGGAGGACGGCTCTGCCCCAGGGCCTCTGTTGCGGGTTCCCAGGGCTGTGGGGGATGCCTGCTAGCTGTTCCGGGGCAGTTTGCCCCTGCCTGGGTTTTCTGCTTCTGGGCTGAGTTTTTTGCTCATCCAGTCTGCTTGCTTCCCACTTTTGCTGGCGTGTTTTTGTATCTTTTGCGTCAGTCACAGCCCTCTGCTCTGGTGGCCATTTTCTTCTGCGGGTTTCCAGGCGTGGCCACCAGGGCGGCGTTGCGGTTTGTTTACATGTGCCTGGGTGTGCGAGCGAGCGTCTGGGGTGAGTTTTTCACTTTTTTCAGGGGTTTTATTCTCCTGTTGTCGTTCTATGCCTTTCTGGTGTTTTCTGCCCGTTTCCTGTTCCTCTGGGAACGGTTGAGTGTTGATTTTACACCGGGTTTTCCGTTTTATCTGTTTTTGGTCTGGGCCCTTGGGTTTGGGCTCAGTGTCCCTGTCAGTTATGCTTGCTCCCACACCTTGTCCCTCGGTTTTGGGTCTGTTTTGACCGTTTCCCAGGGGGTTCTGTCTGGGGGCTGTGCTTTGCCTTTCTGTGGTGTTTCTCCGCCGGCAAATGTGGTGGTTTGCGCTCCCCCTGGTTTGATTCCGGGTTCCTTTGGGTTCTTTGGTTTCGTTCCGGAGGTTTCTTTCTCTTGGGCCCCCTTTTGTGGGTTCAGGGGGCTTTGTTTCCTCGTGTGTGACCCGGTTCTGCCTTCTGGGGTTCCGGGGTCTTCCTGGCTTGCAGACTGATCTTTTTGGGTCTTGACACATGTTGCGGTTGTGCTGGGACATTGGGGTTTTGTTGTCGAGGTGGGCCTTTTGGGCATGGTGCTCTCTGCCCACTGGTCGGCGGCTTGTAATTTTCTTTTCACGTGTATGTGTACACATGTGCATGTGTACACTGTGTGTGTGTGTAATTACCTAAGTGTAGTTACAGGATGAGAGCTACGCTCGTGGTGTCCCGTCTTCCCAGCACTCTTTGTCATACAACGCTTTGAAACTACTGACGGTCTTGGCCTCCACCACCTTCTCACCTAACTTGTTCCAACCATCTACCACTCTGTTTGCGAAAGTGAATTTTCTTATATTTCTTCGGCATTTGTGTTTAGCTAGTTTATATCTATGACTTCTTGTTCTTAAAGTTCCAGGTCTCAGGAAATCTTCCCTATTGATTTTATCAATTCCTGTTACTATTTTGTATGTAATGATCATATCACCTCTTTTTCTTCTGTCTTCTAGTTTTGGCATATTTAATGCCTCTAGCCTCTCCTCGTAGCTCTTGCCCTTCAGTTCTGGGAGCCACTTAGTGGCATGTCTTTGCACCTATTCCAGTTTGTTGATGTGCTTCTTAAGATATGGGCACCACACAACCGCTGCATATTCTAGCTTTGGCCTTACAAAAGTTGTGAACAATTTCTTTAGTATATCGCCATCCATGTATTTAAAAGCAATTCTGAAGTTAGAAAGCGTGGCATAGGCTCCACGCACAATATTCTTTATGTGGTTCTCAGGTGATAGTTTTCTATCTAGAACCACCCCTAGATCTCTTTCTTTATCAGAATTCTTTAAAGATTTCTCACATAATATATAGGTTGTGTGGGGTCTATGTTCTCCTATTCCACATTCCATAACATGGCATTTATTAACATTAAATTCCTTTGCCAAGTGGTGCTCCAGATACTTATTTTGTCCAGGTCATCTTGAAGGGCATGACAATCATCTAAGTTTCTTATCCTTCCTATTATCTTAGCATCATCAGCAAACATGTTCATATAATTCTGTATACCAACTGGTAGATCATTTATGTAGACAATAAACATCACTGGTGCAAGAACTGAACCCTGTGGTACTCCACTTGTGACATTTCTCCAGTCCGATACATTGCCTCTTATCACTGCCCTCATTTTTCTATCAGTCAGAAAATTTTTCATCCATGTTAGAAGCTTACTTGTCATCCCTCCAATATTTTCTAGTTTCGAGAACAACCTTTTATGTGGAACTCTGTCGAAAGCCTTTTTTAGGTCCAGATAGATGCAGTCAACCCAACCATCTCTTTCCTGTAATATCTCTGTTGCTCGATCATAGAAACTGAGTAAATTCGATACACAGAATCTTCCAGATCGAAAACCATATTGTCTGTCTGATATTATATCATTTCTCTCCAGGTGTTCTACCCATTTAGTTTTAATTATTTTTTCCAATATTTTGACTATTACACTTGTCAATGATACCGGTGTATAATTAAGGGGGTCTTCCCTGCTTCCACTTGATTGGAACTATGTTAGCCTTTTTCCACACATCAGCTACAACTCCTGTAAACAGGGATGCCTGAAAAATCAGTTGAAGAGGAATGTTGAGCTCAGGTGCACATTCTCTCAGAACCCATGGTGAAACTCCATCTGGACCAGCTGCTTTGTTCTTAATTAGCTCCTTGAGCATTTTTTCCACTTTGTCTCTAGACACCTTTATGTGCTCTATGTTGTTCTCTGGAATTCTTATTGCGTCTGGTTCCCTGAAGATTTCATTTTGTACAAACACGCTTTGGAACTTTTCCTTTAATGTTTCACACATTTCCTTTTCATTTTCCGTGAATCTATTTCCCATTTTCAACCTCTGAATATTATCCTTTACCTGCAATTTGTTGTTTATGAATTTATGGAATAGACCTGGTTCTGTTTTACATTTGTCTGCAATCCTTTTTTCAAAATTTCTTTCTGCCTCTCTCCTTACTGCCGTATAGTTATTTCTCGCATCTTTGTATCGCTGGTATGTCAGGTCATCTTGGAGTGGGTGCGCTTGGGCGTGGTCGAAACGACCCTGTCCCTTAGGTGGGTTTCCCGCCTGTTTCCAGTGCCGAAATGGGACTGTGCGGATCTAAGGTTCATTCTGGACTTGTCCTGTCTGAACCCCTGGATTCCTTGCCCCTCCTTTTGGATGACTACTCTGTCTCAGGTCCGGCTTCTGTTGGAGCCGGGTGCCTGGATGGTGTCGCTGGACCTCAAGGATGCTTATTGGCACGTTCCTGTTCATCCGGGGTTCCGGGACTGGTTAGATTTCGTGGTGGGGCGTCAGCCTTACCGTTTTCGTTGCCTCCCTTTTGGCTTGAATCTGGCACCTCATATTTTCATGCGTCTTACCTGGGTTGTGGTGTCCCGTCTGCGTCTGCAAGGGATTCGGGTTTTGGCCTACCTCAACGACTGACTTGTGTGGGCTCCCAGTCGGTCAGCTTGTCTGCTCGCCAGGGATATGGTTCTTTCCCAGCTCGCCAGGTTTGGGTTCCTGGTAAACTGGAGGAAGTCTCATCTGGTTCCGTCCCAGGTTTGGACCTGGCTAGATCTCGTTTGGGATTCTCGGACCGCTTCCTTATCTCTCCCTCCAAAGGCACTGCTGCGGCTGCGGTCCCGCCGTCGGCTCTTCTGAGGGAGTCCCGAGTCACTCGGTGGTTGCTCGAGCGGTTATGCGAGAGTCTGAACTTCGCCATGCTGGTCTACCCATAGGTCGGGTTTGGTTTCAGCGTCTGTTTTGGTTCCTTCGGAGATGCCTCTTCCGCCTCTCTCGTGATCATTGGGTTTGTCCTCCTGGAGCCTTGTGTCGTTTGGTTCATCACTGGCTTCCAATTCGGGGTTTTCGGGGTTCGGTGCCTTGGCGCCTTCCCGAGCCTTCGCTCGATGTGTTCACGGACGCATCGTCTCTTGGCTGGGATTTTGTGACCAGTGCTCAGGGACGGGGGATTCCGTCCTTCCGTCGTGCTAACTGCATGGTTCGGGGGTTCGCAGCTGTCTGGTTCGCAGCTGTCTGGTTCGCACTTCGGAGGGTTCGGGTCGCTCTGGTTTCGACCATCCGGCTCCATTCAGACTGTTCTCCGGTGGTTCATTGTCTGAACTACAGGGGTTCTCGTCGGTCCTCTCCTCTTTGGGGTTGGTCCCTTCGAGTGATTCGTTTGCTGGATTCTCGGGGTTTGGCTCTCCGTGCGGTTCATATCCGGGAAGTATCCAATGTCCTGGCAGACGGCCTGTCTCGCTTCATTTTTCCTGTCCACGGAATGGACGGTCGACAGCGACTCGTTTCGTTGGATCTGCCAGATGCACGGACTCCCAGACATGGACATCTTCGCATCCGTGCGGTCTCAGCGTATCCCAGTCTATCTGATGCCCTTAGCCGACTGCGAGGCGTTCATGGTGGATGCCTTTCGACAGGACTGGTCGAGGTGGGGTTACCCGTACCTCTTTATCCCGGTCAAGCTGTTGCTTCGGGTTCTGGCTCTGTTGGAGACCTTCCCAGGAATAGTAGTCCTTGTGGTCCCTTGATGGCCGGCCCAGCCTTGGTTTCCGGCACTGTTTGCTCGGTGTCTGAACCCGAGACGTTTCCCGCAGCTCCACCTTTTTCAGCAGGTCGGACCAGTCCGGTACGGGGCTGGTTCAACCTTCTCCTCTGCTCTTCGCATCTGGTCTTTTTTGACGCAGGTGTATCACCATTACTATGGTCATCAGGTGGCTTCATTGATGGTGTCCCACCAGAGAGCTTCGTCTCGGCTACAGTATGAAGTTTCGTGGCGTTCTTTTCGCCATTTTCTTGCTCTCCGTAGGTTGTCATTTCTTTTAGATCGGATTGTCTTGTCCTTTCTTTCTTGGCTTTTTCAGGACCATCATTTAATGCCTAATCCTGTCGCCTCGTATCGTGCAGTGCTGGCGGAGCCGCTCCAGCTTGTGTTCGGGGTGGACGTCACATCTGCCCTGTTCTGTCAGCTTTCTCGTGCTATGCTTCACTTCCAGCCTGGACATGCGCCGCCTGAGCCGTCCTGGTCCTTGGACAGGGTGTTCTCTTATCTTTCCTCTCCTCGGTTTGTGGTGGCCCCTTCGGTCCAAGATTGTTTTTCCAAGGCCCTGTTTTTGCTGGCATTGGCCTCTGTGGGTCGGGTAGGGGAGCTTCATGCTCTCCTCCGGCGCAGGGGTTTCTGCTCTTTTGGTCCTGAGGGTAGGTTTGTATGTTTTTAGCCGTCTCCATCTTTTCTGGCGAAGAACTAGACGGCTGCTTTCCAGAGGGTTCCTTGGGTCATTGATGCTTGGTTGGTTCAGCGGGGGGTGCATCATGTGTTGTGTCCGGTTGCGGCTCTTCGCCGTTACCTGCGCGCTTCAGCCGGGGTGGCTGGGGATGCGCTTTGGGTTGATCCGGTTTCCCTCATTCCCTGTTCCAGGGCTCAGGTCTCCCAGGTTGTCCGCAGGGTTATTAAGTCTAGCCAGCCTGAGGTCTATCCTCGCGCCCATGATGTTCGGAAGTTTGCAGCTTTGACAGCCGTGTTTGGTAACATGTCTTTGGCTCTTATTCGGGCACGTGGATTTTGGAAGTCGAACAGGGTCCTGGCCACCCGTTATTATGTGAACGTGCCTGCTCCTCGGTGTTCTTGTGTTGCTTTGGGTCGCAGGTTGCAGCCAGTTATTTTGACTTCGCGTTGAGGAGTTTGTGGTGGCCGCCTCCCGGGTAAGTCCCTATATATTTTCTCTTTGGGTATGTAGCTCCAAGGAGTCATAGGGGCTCCCCACAGAAAACCAGCGTTGAATGTGTACTCCTTGGGATTATAAGGAGTTCTACCTCTCTGTTCATTTTTTTGTTTTAGTTTCTTATCATTTGGGGGTTTGTTTTGTTACGCCTACCTTTCTGGGTGCCTAACCCCAGTCGATGGCAGATAAGGAAAACCCTCAACCACATGGGGGTTTTCCAGGGCCATTGCTCCCTGCAACCTCTCTGAAGGGATCAGGTTCCGGCACTGGTCCCTGGTAGGTCTGAACTCCATTGCTAATGTCCCGGTCTAATATAAAATACATTAGCCCGATAAGCTCCAGGTAGTCCCTGGGGCTCACCCAGAAAATGGCGTTTCATTACATTCAACGCTGGTTTTTAGGGGGGTCTGGTTGCCTGCATCAACAGGGTTTATCGGCATCACAGACCCAAGTGCCTGGGCTTCCTGTATGGCTCATTCCACTCACATATTACCCAATTTTTCAATTGAACTCAGTCTTATTATTAACTTACATAGTAATTCCAACATAGTTAAAGATAATTATGTTGGAATGAATATACAGTACAGTACTGTTATGAACTTATTTAATACAATCTTTCCAGTCTTCATACAACATGCGAGTGAAGCGATGCATGGAGATCTTTGAATCAGCAAAGAGGATGAATCCAGAGCTCTCAAAATTTATCGCTGATGCTACTAAGTTGGCTGACAAATTTCTTGAACTCTCCAATAAACATGTAGAGAAGGTTAGTATTTATGCTGATAGAACTCTTTTTACATTGTATATATGTGCTCCATAAAGCTTGTTTAAGGTGATGACATTGATGTAAAAACACTTTGATGTAATGTGTTTTCCTTTGTGGTTCCTTATGAATCCTTCAATTTCATACAATATTATGTCATTTCACACATTTAGTGGAAGATTTTAAAATGTTTAATGTGAGGCACTTAAAAAGAGTAAAATGTTGAATAATTAAGTGCTTAGAGTGTGGTATTGTACTTGTAAAATTCTTACAGGGCGTTCATGTAAAATACTTAATTAATGAAACACTTTCGAGCTCCCTGGAGTAAACTGTGTACTTTCTGGGTGTGCGCCATTCGTTTCGGGCGACCGTGTGGCGACACTAAAATGTTTATAATCTTTTCGGTCTGCTCACCTTAATATTCCATGTATATATTTAAATTTGGTATCAATTTGTTCGCAAGAGAATGCTCTAGAGGAATATATATGTAAAATTTCACCAAACCCGACATGAGACCCGCACCAAATAAAAAACTATGGCAATCGTTAGCCGTGAGCGTCAAACCGCGCTGAAATGTTTATGATTTTTTCATGTTTGTCAACCCCAGAATTGTTCTACGTCGTTAATTTTGGTATCACTGTGACCGCAATAAAATTCCCTACACGGACATATGCATATAAATGTAGAATCATGGTCGCGGTCCACCTGCAAGATTGTGGGAAGTGGCTGAAGTGTTACCTCTTACCGCACACCCGACGGCAGATCGACGAAACACCTATTGAAAAGTGTATATTCTTTTTACTGTCCTGACCTTAATTTTCGATGTACGTACTTAATTTTTGTACCAATGTGTTCCTAGAAGAACATATGTATAAAATGTCACACAAGGATGCGTTAGACCGGCATCAAATAAAAAATTACGTCGATTACACTCGTCGTGTCAACAATACAATGGTCTTACCACGATGATGCCGTTCTCCCAAATAGGCTATGTGGCTATTAGAGAAAACAAAAATTTAATGGCGAACATGTTTATACTATCCCCAAGTCGATCGGATAAGAATTAGATTTTATAGAAATATTTTTTTCAAATGCTGCTTGAGGTGCATTCAAGAGAAAAAAATGTCCTGCTCAAGCGACATATGGGTGCTAAAGTGCTAAATTGTGTGCAATCTAAAGACACTCATTTTGAAACCACTACCAGATTGATCAGATAAAATTAAAATTTTTAACAAATATTTTAACGAATGACTCAGGACTTCGTCACTAGAGTAGAATCAAGAGAAAAATAAACGACGCGAAATTTAGTTGCTAGAGCTCGAAAGTGTTATTAAGGGGAGCTCTTGTAAAATGCTTACAGGGCATTCTTGTAAAATACTTATGGGGAGCACATGTAAAATACTTTCAGGAGGTTCTTGTAAAATATTTAAAGGTAAGGTCTTGTAAAATCCTTACAGGTTGTTCCCTGAAGCTTATTGGGCTAATGTTTGTTATATATGACCGGGACATTAGCTATGGAGTTCAGACCTACCAGGGATCAGCGCCAGAACCTGGCCCATTCAGAGAGGTTTCAGGGAACAATGGCCCTGGAACCCCCCCCCCCCCGTGATTGTGGGTTTTCCTATCTGCCATCGACCAGGGTTAGTCATCCAGAAATGTAGGCATAACTAAACAAACCCCACATGGTAAGAAACTAACAACAAAAACCAAACAGAGAGGCAGAACTCCCTACAATTCAAAGGAAACAAGCACAAGTAACACACTACTGCTGCGCCGCTAGTCCGTGCTCCCCTCCCCTCCCCTCCCCGGGAAGGGGAGGGGAGGGCCCCGGACCTCACTGCGCCGGCTGCAAAGCATTCCAGTTCGTAAGCTAATGTCAACTAAGATTGTCATGTCAGCTATATATCCCCACTTAATTTTGAAGAAGCAATCAACAGTATGCCTATGCACTCTGCAGCATGACCTGATTCTTGGAACTCCATATTCATCAAGAACCATAAAAAACCACTATTGCAGACCCTTCACATTCTTTGGCGACAAAGCCTAGATACTGGCATTATCCCTGACATACAAATACAGCAGATATAGCACCACTTTTTAAAGGAGGAAATAAGGCAGAGGCAAAAAATTACAGACTGATAGCACTAACATCGCACATCATAAAAATTTCTGAGAGAGTGCTAAGAAGTAAGATCACAAAATACATGGAATCACAACATCTCCATAACCCCGGACAACATGGTTTCAGGACAGGGCACTCTTACCTGTCACAGTTGCTGGACCACTATGACATGGCATTAGATGCCATGGAAAACAAACAAAATGCTGATGTAATTTACACAGATTTCCCAAAAGCCTTCGACAAATGCGAACATGGTGTTATTGCACATAAAATGCGTTTAAAGGGAATTACTGGAAAAATAGGCAGATGGATCTACAATTTCCTGACTAACAGAACCCAGTGTGTAATAGTCAACAAAATAAAATCCAGCCCATCAACAGTGAAGAGCTCAGTCCCCCAGGGTACTGTGCTTGCTCCAGTACTTTTTCTCATCCTCATATTGGACATAGACAAGGACACAATCTATAGCACTGTATTATCCTTTGCAGATGACACTAGGATTTTCATGAGATTAGACAACATAGAGGACACGGCCTACCTCCAATCAGATGTAAATCAGGTATTTCTATGGGCTATAGAAAATAATATGATGTTTAACGAAGATAAGTTCCAGCTCATGCGCTATGGAAAAATGAAAATATATAAACAGAAACCATGTACAAAACTCAGTCAAATCATAACATAGAACGAAAAGGCAATATAAACGATTTGGGTGTACTCATGTCGGAAGACCTTATCTTTAATCACCGTGCTGCGCCAAGTTTATTGTGAAATTTCCCGTGCGCATGAAATAAAGTGTTCCCAAAACATTCTTTTTTCTTCGTAAAATGATAAATTCCCTTCCCTAAACATGTCTATGTTAAAATAAATACCAAATTCCATTTACTTTGGCTGTGGGGACGTGGACAAGGTGCTTGTGAGGTCATCAGGGCCTGGTCGCCTGTGCGTGAATAGCCCAGACACGGTCGCGCGGGCCATTCAAGCACCGGGTGTTGCCACAAATATATTTTCAATTATTTGTTTTTTTGTATTTCTAATGCGGTTTTATTTGTTCTTTTTTTTATCGTATATGATGCATATTTGTGTCCTTTACAATATGTATACAGTAAAATGTTCATAATGTTCAATGGAACTGTGATACATGTGTCAGTAATGTGTCCACAATAAATGTTTATTGTTGCAATATTACCTGTTAAAAATTCACTCTAATTACAATATGTACAGTTTCACACACTATTTACACAGTAACACACTGTATTACACACTCAGTACTTCGGAAGTGAGTAATAATCAACGAAGTAGCCCATGGTACACAGTGCGACTTCGCTCTCAGTGCACCTGGTACAGATAAATTTTCGCTTCCTGTTTCATCGTTCTGTGTGCTTGCAAATAACACACTCACGTACACCCTTGACTTTAGTACTTGTAGGTTGTATGTAGTCAAGCTTGTAAAGCATAAGGTAGTATTGAAAAGATTATAGGAAAAGCTCAATTTGTAAGGTAGTCTTGAAAAGATCGCTTTGTATGGTCCCACACAGGAAGAGATTCAGCTTGCCTCAAAGAGTGTCCGTCAGTTAGGAAGAGATTCAGGTATTCTTAAAAAATCTATGGAAAACGCCACCATGGAAGCCGCTAACACTGTTCATCTATGCTACTTGTATCAGATGCATCATCACTGAACGCAGAAAACGTTTCATCTATGTATCATCTAAATAAATTGGAGATAGCATAGGATTGCAAGAGTGACGCTCAGAGCTACAACTGGATACGCTCGCTGTATCGTCCTCATAGGTGCTGTATCACTTGCATCCAACCTTTGTGTTAGGCCCTTATTATGCCTAGTTTCACCTATATTATGACCTTTATGTTCTTCAAACAATAAGGTTTGAATTTCACCGACAGAGCGTTATCTTTCAACACCGCATTGGACAGGTGTTTGGGAGCTAGAGGTGCGTGCGCCACCCATGGTTACTTACTCAGTACTAACCCAGCCAGCAGCCCTAGGGCATTCTGGGAATTTTTTCCAAGATGGCTGCCTCTCTCTGGAGGTCCTAAGAGTTCGTTTCGTACACAACCAACCTCGAACACATTTAAAATTGGTACCGAAAAATCAATAAGAGTTTTCTCGGTTGGCACAGTTTCCCGCCGACCGAGAATACTCAGTTGGCGCAAATAAGTGGTTAAAGAACACAATAAAGTAGCCATCACAACTGCAAGAAAAATGACATGTTGGATAACAAGAACTTTTCAAACTAGAGATGCTATACCAATGATGATACTCTTCAAGACGCTAGTGCTCTCTAGAGTGGAGTACTGCTGCACAATGACAGCCCCTTTCAAAGCTGGAGAAATTGCTGACCTGGAAAGTGTGCAGAGATCCTCTACTGCTAGAATCCACTCAGTAAAACATCTAAACTACTGGGACCGACTAAAGAGCCTAAATCTGTATTCCCTTGAGTGCAGGCAGGAGAGATACATAATAATTTTCATGTGGAAAATAATAGAGGGGCTGGTCCCAAACCTGCACACAGAAATAACATCACATGAGACCAGGAGGCATGGCAGGATGTGCAGAATACCCCTGTTGAAAAGCAGAGGTGCAACAGGTACTCTGAGAGAGAACTCTGTCAACATCAGAGGCCCTGATAAAAGGATACCTGATCAACCAGGCTGAGAGCAGCAGCGTCCAACAGCCTGGTTGCCCAGTCCAGCAACGAGGAGGCCTGGTCGATGACTGGGCTGTGGGGACGCTAAGCCCCGGAAGCACCTCAAGGTAACCTCAAGGTAGGTAACAACCAGGAAAGACACTACTCTGGCCTCAGTTTCCTAGGTAGTGTTTCCCTTCGTGGCGCTCACTGCTGTGTTTTTCTTGAGGTTATCT